TTTTTGCAAAACAAACAAAATTTCGCGTATTGCGAACAGGCCCTTACCTATAAATTGCGACCCGAGGTAACGTGTGTTAACTTGATTTCCAGCCCAGAACCGAACATGGATATCCATTTGTTTCTGGTGACTCTTGCTATTTAAACTTTCATCGAATAAAATCGTGAAAGCACCTTTGACTTCATCCATCAATAATTCTTTAAAGTGTTTTGCCAAGCCAAACGTACAGACATAGGCAGTTTTCTTTTCCCCGCATGAGAACTTTGATGCAATCACACTATCCGGAAACATAGCTTGGAAAATTTTCCCCACTTTCTCGTTTGACTTGTACGAATAGTGAGCAGATATCGTTTGCAGTGTCCACAGAATTTCAGCAGACAACACGTCATTTTTTGCCACAAAGTTCGCCAACCTGCTACGTCCTTGGCATCCCTCTGTGAGCTTGACTGTTGATTGACCATCTGCTTCAGACGGAGGTGGGGGAACAGAAAATTCATCGTTACTCGCTTCTGCACAACTAGAAGTAGATTCGGACCTCTGGTCACAACTTGAACTTACTTCTTTGTGTAAAAATGTAGACATCAGCAGAGACTGAGTTGAACCCGAGGTTGCCTAAGTGTTCCCCTTGTGTTTCTCGCCTTTCATATGAGACTTCAAAGCACTTTCTCCCATGCGTTCGATGTCGATCACTTTGTTACAAGCACAACACATCGCCTTGTGCTTGTCGCCTTTGAATTCTTTTACCCAGCTAAACTTTGCATCACTTAACCATTTACGATTGAATACACATTTGCCCATCGCTCATTTAAATTGCAAACGAAGGGAAATCAATATACATCGACCAAAACTCACCCAAAACACTTCACGTTCACGTTGCCCCTTAAAACAAAAGCACATGGCGGACTAGCCCACATCAGAGGCCTTACGCATGAAATTGAGGCAAAGATCAAAATTTTGCTTCATGTACCGTTCACGTTTTGTACCGATCATTTTGAAATTTTTTGTTCATTGTTCATAGTTCATAGTCGCTAGTGGGCAAATTTGTCGTAGCAAAATCATTTAATTTATTAGAAAAGCGATAAAGGGTACGCAAATTGCTAAATTTCAAGGACTTTTCATGACCCAGGAAAGAAATCAAGTACTTTTCAAGGACCTAAAACAAAATCAAGGACTTTTCAAGACGGCTGTTAAAATTCAAGACCTTTTCAAGATTGTATGAACCACATAAACACTGTATTTTCTCTTTAAGTATTTTAATCTATTTCTAAGTTGACTGTTACTGTGTGTCACAGTTGAAACAGTGCAGATCATTAATGTACCCAATAAATATTGTCTGCTGTATTTCCTGCTGAAGAACAGGAGTTATAATTGTAGCTTGCAGTGAATTAGCATTAGATTCTGTGATATGAATGACGCAGTTAAAGGCATTAGCAACAGCTTGTATAATGAGATGATCACACCAAGTACCAGGTATTGACATTTGCTTAATATAG